TCACATTACAACCAGGGATGCACCGATGGATCGGCATTTGATCCCAGTCGGCCGATAGCGCCCCCATCGGTTTTGATCGGAGTTTTCAAAATAGATCAAAGCAGACCGATCAGGTAGGGTTGTCACGGTAACCGGTGTAGTGGTAAACCCCGGTAAAAAAAAGTTGACAGTAATAATAACCGTCTTGTTTTAAAAAAAAAATATCTCGGTGGGTTTACCGTGGCTGCAGTGTAGGCGCTGTGACCCTTACCAGCCACCGTATCATCTGCTGGAGTTGCCGGCGGCACATGCGCGCTTTGTTGTTTACAACCAAAACTTTCTTGACGCTAAAGCTGAAATAATGGCCAAAGGAGGAGACGGCAGTGCTCAGGACATTTATTATCCCTCAAAGAAGACACAACTCTACAGTCAACGCAAGGCAAGCTAACGTTAGCGTTTTAGCTAAAATGCGTGATCCGAGGATTTGGGTTGAGGGAGAATGCAACGAGTCGCTATATAAAGCAGCCGCAGCGCCGCTACCTATTATAAACCGTGTCGCGGACACCCTCACGTTGAAATGACGCTATGCATTACGGGGCTCCCAGGGGCAGATAAGAGTTGGTCTCTCTCCGAGAATAATTATGAATTTAACGATTACTGCCTGATGACATTTTCCCAAATCTGCAAAGCTCACTGGAAGGACACAAACCGAGGACAATATTTTCCTGATATAGGGTTTATTACTCAAGTAAGGGTAAAAAAGTATCTGATTAGAAGGCTACTTGAGTACTGAGTATCATCTGATCTAATATTTTTAAAATGATGACATCAAACAGACATAAAATAAGAAGTTATGGGCAAATATTGGTATTTTAAAGACTAAAGGGAAAAATGTAAACAAATAAACAACATAATTACAAAATAACACATTTTAGGCAAAATTTAGACATAAACTGAGGACAATATTTCCTGACATACAGGGTTTATTTAATAGTGTGAAAATGTAGCACGTTAAAAAAAATACCGCGATAATACCGAAAACGGTAGTAATTTTGGTCACAATAACCGTGAGGTTAAATTTTCACACCGTGACAACCCTAATGCAGACCATTTTAGATTAGGTTACATTTCCTTTATTCCCAGATTATGTAGTTTGTAGCACTCATTATAATGTTGTAGAAAATTTCTGGCCAATCCACGTGATCGGTATCGGTGATCAGCATTCTTTGATGTCGGTATCGGTGACCAGCATTCTTTGATGTCTGTATCGGTGATCGGCAGCAAAAAATCTGATCGGTGCATCCCTAGTTAACAATGTCCTTGATCCATCCAAGTATAAGCTTTTGACCAGAAATCATTCCAACCTGTTTGAAGGCAAGAAAAAGTTGTAATTAAAATAAAGTCTAAACAAGCCAGGATTACTACCATCATAATACATTTTCACATACAGCATGAAGTGTCAGATTTTTTGCGGCGTGCCAGACATCAAGTAAATGGGTAGTATCCTGATCCTTATATCTGCCCCATTCTGGATCGGTTCAGAAAACATTAAAAACAGTCTTTTAACAATCTGGTTTCCAATTACTAGTAATAACTCAGAAGTTTTTTGAAATTCTTATGCATGAGGGCAGCCATTTGTACATGGGCATCAGTAACAACCTCCTTGATGTTCACCTCCTTTGTGAAATTGTCAAATGTCTGTATAAAGGCAGCCTTCTCCATGACCCCACCTTAACGGCCAACCCATCTTTTGTCCACATTGACAACACTGATGATGTCCATGGTGTCTAGCTCCATCGTTGTGTATGTACAGCACATTTCTGAGTGACCTTTTTTTTTTTTTAGAAATATACAGAAAATTGAAAAATAACAATGAAAAGAAATATTTCAACTGATCTAAAATGCTTTTTCATTACCTGGAGAGTCCATCCTCCCGTCAGCTAAAAAAGAAACAGAATTGTAAGCATATAATTAATATGAGCCTTTAAAAGTAAACCTATTTAATTACCAAGAGCAACCACGCAGTCTTTTGCCTGCAGTTTCTTGATAATGGCATTCCTCTCCTCCCAAAACTGCTTTATTGTTTTTATACAGTAGGTACCCTGGACTGCATAGAAGGTTGTGGATGCCACCATGCGGATATTCATGAATCTGAACAGGAGAGCGATCTTGGAGAAGTTGTTCCCTGACAGCAGAATCTTGGTTGACAACATGAAATCACCTCCTTGCATCCCATGTTTCAGCTTTGGCTGGCTGTTCCAACTCCATAATTTATGTCCACGTGGGCAAAACTGTATTAAAATACAATTAAAAAAAAAGTGGAAATGGCGCTTCACACAGATTTTATTTTCCTACAGTTGTACTACTTCCTCATAACATGTGTGGCCAGCATTAGAATATAAACTCACCTACTCAATTATCAGAGCTGTACCTCTCGGACGTGACTTTACATGAAAAAGAGTATGGCCATCACAATATGTTCCTGTGCTGTGGTCACTGTAGTGGCATTTACTGACAGTTAGAGGAAATTGGCCATCTGGAGCAAGCTTTTGCTGTATGCTATGCTTGCTTGCTGGTTTATAAGGTCACTTTCAACAAGCACTTGATCATGTATTGGGAAAATTGGAATGGATCCTGCTGATGGCTCTTCTAAATTCTCTTCCAAATCTGCCTCCACACAATCAGCAATGTCCAATACAGCATTATCCAGGCCAATGCGAGGAAGTTGGTCAACTTTATCCTGTGAGGCACACCTATTGCACAAGAATTTTTAAAAAATATAATCAGTGAATAGAAAGTGAGAGTGGGGATGTTACTATGGTATTTAAAAAAGCCAATTATGAAACATACCTTATTGATATTGGAGGTACGTAATCGGAGTCATACGGGTCTAAAGCTCCTTCTCCTTCAAACTCTAATCTTGAAGTAAAAACAGCAGCAAAATATGACAATATATACTGACACATATCATTTCAATGACAATAATTTGTTACTTACAAACTGTTTTCCAAACTATTGGCTTTTTCCTCGTCTAAATAGTCCTCTTTCAGCTCCATCGATTTGATTCTACAAAAACACAGAATACATCAATTGTGAAAACATAGGTTATCCATCAAATGATAAAAAGCCCTGCATATTTACCTTTCCTCCAACATTTCTACCCCTTGATCTGCTTTTAGAGGTTCAACTCCTGCGATCTGGAAGTCATCCCTGTAGATAAGTAGTGCACAGTATTTCTTTTATTTGATGTGGAGAACAATAATCTGAAATAGGAGTTACATTTAGTTTACAAGTAAACTTACCTATCAGATTCCCCTGCAGTTACTGAACTGGGGCGATGGGGCCCTGCAAACACTGCTGTAGATGGCCCACATGGTGTCGATGTTAGTGGTCCCTTTGATAAAGCGTGCTTCTCATAGCTAAAACAATAAAGCAACTTTTAATACTCCAGTCGTAATGTGCACATGTTTACAATTGAGTCAGCTATATTAACACTTTATTTGATTTGCGACATAGTTTTACAAAGTTTAGACTGTTTTACACAATTCTAGTAAATTACACAAACAATATACTCTGATGTGTAGACACACTAGACAAGCAGCCTATGAATGTTACTACTATGATATACGAAAAGCCTCCAGCTTGCTTTGAAAGCATCCACAACCATTTCCCCACATGTGTTTAGTAATAATTTACCTTTCCAGTAACAATGATGACAGCTTCAGGCCTGTTTTCATACCAAGAGACTCACTCAGCATTTTCCACTTCTCAAATGCCAGACCGATATTTATCCTCATTTGTTTCCTTCGGCAATCACACTCGAGTTTTGCCCTTTTCGACGCGCTGGAATACACTCTTCTTAGTTTCTTTGTCTTGTTTGGGATCTGAGCTGGAGTTCCGCTGGTGCTTGAAGCAGCTCTCTTCTTGTTCTTTGCTGAATCCATGCTACCAAAACCACCTCTCGCTCTGCTGCTAAGCTATAGCTAGCAAACAAACGCTGCGGGGCTATGCCTGAGCGTGAACTCGCATGACGTCATCACACATTACGCTGCCTCTGGAACACACTGGGGAAGCCTGCATGCTCGACCCGAGCATGATCTTTTCTGTGACTTTACAGGCTTACAGAGGCAATCACAGTAAAAATGCCAGGGCTCATTCTACAGGACCAGGGCATTACAGGAGAATGTATGAGGAATACATTTAAAATTTCTATACTTGTATTGGCTGTTAAACTTCCACATAGTATCTTTAATGGTGCTGTAACGCCCATCAGTGTGGTCATCCTTTCCAATGCTGTGCTGGTTCACTATTTATACTCTGTAGACCAGCTAACAATGGGTCAGTAAACAGTTCCTGTTTTGCTGCTGATTGTCTGACCAATTCTGCGTTTCCTCTCTAGTGTTCCTTACTGCCCTTCAGATGCTGGTTTCTTATAGCAACAAGCCTGCATTAAAGTCCTTGTGTCTCATTAGTTTAGTATTAGAGCTTCAAGAGGCTGTCATGCTAAGCTGCTAATGTTGGTGCTCGTTGTTTAATAGTCGTGCACGACGTAACCATGCTGCAGTAAAGACAGTGTTTCAGTGTTCTCAAAGTGGGATTCGGGTTGTCAGCAGACTGCTTGCTACAGTGGGTCACGTTAGCCATAATCAGCTGTGGAATGTCTTCTTCTCCTCTTTGCCTCCATATTCTTAGTTTAATCCTCACCCTCAAAGTGGCAGTATTATCTTTTCTGCTACTTTTAGCTGGTTTTCTCTTTTCCTGCTCAGTCAAGGATAGAGAGGAGTACTGCTTTGTTTCTAAAGGTTTGATGTTTTCATTTTCGTAAGAGGTGATGTGTGACAGGGGTCATGCGGGATGTTTGTGGCCTTTCTGTCTTTAAAATGGTGTTAAATATTCTGCTGCTAAAGGTGAATCCAGGGATGTGGATCAAAAAGTTGCCTAGACTCTAAATGCTATATTGTGCCATTTTGTTAACACTTGTCTGTTTTTCTTTTTCATCATTTTACTTGTCCCTGTCACAGGTATGGCATCCGCCCAGAGAGCGTGATCGTGTACGGTCAGAGCATTGGCACTGTGCCCTCTGTGGACCTAGCATCTCGCTACGAGAGTGCCGCAGTCGTCCTCCACTCCCCGCTCACCTCCGGCATGAGAGTGGCTTTCCCCGACACCAAGAAGACCTACTGCTTTGATGCCTTTCCAAAGTGAGTAGACGCTGTGCACAGATGGCATGTGTGAAGACAGGGATACATGTATGACAACAGCTGAAAGGCACGCCACCTCCTCTGTAGGGTTCAGATCAGAGTGTGCTTACGTACTCTTGTTTTAGTTTATACTTTCATTATAGATTATACTATCACAGGTCTGTAAAGCGAGAGCTTGCATCCAAAAAAACACAAGCTCAAATCTGTAGTTTTGATTTCATAATGTACTTCTGTCTAAATGAGGCACATAAAGGATAAAGCATCTACATGGCACCATCTAGTGGTGCATTAGTAAAATGCCAACAGTTTCCTTTGCTGTTCTTTACTACAGTAATTCAATCCTAGTCAAATTTCTACCTTTTTGTTTGTTCTTTTTCTCTTTTCCTTTTTAAACATCAAAGCATTGACAAGATTTCAAAGGTCACGTCACCAGTCCTGGTGATCCACGGTACCGAGGACGAGGTCATCGACTTCTCCCACGGACTGGCCCTCTACGAACGGTGTCAGCGTCCTGTCGAGCCGCTGTGGGTGGAGGGCGCTGGACACAACGACGTGGAGCTCTACGGACAATACCTGGAGAGGCTCAAGCAGTTTGTGGCACACGAGCTGAACAACTTGTAGAGGTGCTAAAAATAAATCCATAACAGGGTGGACAGGGAAGAGGAGAAGGGAGAAACACTGTGGTTTTTAGGATAGGTGGATTTATTATTTTCAATTAGTGATTAAAGCATTATTAGTGCCCATTTGCATTTAACTGTTTTGTGGTGACTGACTTCTTATTCTCAAACTCCTCATCTCCTGGCTCAAGGCCTCCACTCCAACCCTGCAGCCTACACACCTCCAACGTTCCGTTTTGCTTTCTGGATCTTTCTTAATTGATGTTAACCATTGCATGGATGAAAAAGCCGAAAGTGCTGACGGACACGGACGACTTATAACACATTCATGCAATAATAACAGTGTACTAAACATGTTCATGTTTATTCTTCCTGCCTTTTGAGGATCCATACTTGTTAATGTCTACTCAGCTCTTGGAAAATGGCCTTTTTACAGAGAAGTTGCTGGAACTTTCTCTGACTCTTGAGGTCAGCTGTGGCCCCACACATCGAGCTCATAATATAGATATTTTATTTCCCTTTGCTTTAAGGACTGTTTCTACTTTTTTTGTATGTTACATAATATTTGCACATATCGTTTGTCGCTGACGAGCTGAACAAGACAAACTCAGATCTTACCCAGCTGTGCCAGTTTTGCCAAATGATATCTCAGACTTTTGTTAATTCTGTCAAATCAACACTCATCATTTTAAAAAAAATGATCCAGTTTGATGTAAACTCTTTGTTGGTTGGCTGAAATTTTGAGGATTGTCAGTAAGGTGTTGGACATTTCCAGCTCTGTCACGTGAACTGTGTAATGTGTTGCTTTTAGATGGTATCACACAGCTGTTGATGAGAAAAGGATGGGCACCTTTCCTGGGAGGGGAAAAAAGAATAATCCACCCGGTAGTGGTTATGAAGCCCAGGTTGGACAGACGTTCCTGCCTGCGGGTCGTAAATATAACAAGTGAACTAATATGTGTGATGGTAATTATCCTTATGGAACTGGAGCAGATCTTTTTAATTGTAACTTTTTAAAATATATATGATGAAACGTAGCTACTGCGAGAGCTGCTGTCAACACTCTGATCACAACCTAAACCACTGACGCCAATCAGGACGAGCAGTAAACCGCACGATCACTGCTGCTCCTGAGTTGTTGTTATAGTGTGGGAGTTTTCATTTTTTATCTTTTACTCCATTATGCTTGAACTGAAGAATGAATTGACGCCACACTTTGTTTTCGACTCACTGCGTTTCTACTGGGACATTGAGCTTTGCCAAAGTGACTGGCTCAGCGTTAAAGACCTCCATCATGAACAGATCATTTCATGTTTGTCTTAAGTGTCTTTCTTCTGTGCGATGATTCTGAAGCCATTGTTGCACATTACTTTGCCCTTTAATGCTGAGATAGGAAATGTAAAGCTCCAGCCCCTGAAAGACAAATGTCAAAGTGCTGCTGCATGCCATGTACTGCGTTTATTTTTATTTTTGCTTTTGGTTTATTTTGCAGTCATTAATGTCTACAGATGTCAATATTTTCCAGCTGTGTCAAACGTGAGTCTACTTCTACTAAAGGAGACCATTTGGAGCCAATCGGTGCTACTGTAAACCTTCAGGTTTGGATACTCACCTGCTCAGAAGCAGAGAACGTGATGTTTGTCAGGTTGACCAAGTGACCAATCAGGATCAATAAATATTTAATGCATGATCTGTTAACATTTTTATTCTACTGACATTCTTATTTGAGTTATAAACTTGATTTTTTATTGTAGCATGTTCTGCAACAATTTGTTTGTATTATTTTTCCTTCTTGGGGTTAGATGACCTTTTTTAACCAACCTCCTCCACAGGTCTTTCCTGATTAAAGTTGTGAAGCATACTCCAAAAAAAGACTTACATTATAGTTATTCAACCATGGAAACAGTAAAATAAAAATGTATTTTAAAAAAACATGATCTTGTTTGACTAAAATTGTGATGATGCTAAAGGTTCTCAGTCAGCCAGGTCATGGTAATCTGAAGGGGTTTGAATGAACTGGACTACGTTTTGCTTCTCATCCTAAGAGCTTTGTTCATTCTGACAGGAATATGGGAGAGTCTTAACTTATAAATTGTAGCTGTCTGTTGTTGCTTAATCAACTGAAACTACCTATGAATACCCCCTCTTGAACCCGTGATGGGTCGTCGTTATGGCTCATTGTGTGGGAATGGTCATGCAGGAGTCCCTCCTGAAACTTTGGATCATCAGCATGACATTTGTTTCATAATTTTTAATAGTTTTAACAGATTTTAGAGCTTTTTTTCTATTAGTAATTTGACGTACCAATTAAAACAATTTCTAATATTACAAAAAAAAATCTATCACAATATACAGAAATGAGGGATTGTTAGAAAAAATACAGGTCCTTCTAAAAAAAATTAGCATATTGTGATAAAGTTCATTCTTTTCTGTAATGTACTGATGAACATTAGACTTTCAAATATATTAGATTAATTACACACAACTGAAGTAGTTCAAGCCTTTTATTGTTTCTAATATTGATGATTTTGGCATACAGCTCATGAAAACCCAAAATTCCTATCAGTACATTACAGACAATAATGAACTTCATCATAATATGCAAATTTTTTGAGAAGGACCTGTACACTACTGATTTTTCAATTATTTATTTATTTATTTTTTTCATTTTCATTCCTCCCAGCAATGAAGGCAATGGACTGTAGACTATATGAACCAGCAGGTGGCAGTGTGGCTCAGATTTTAGCCTCCCAGTAGGTCAACACTTGGAGGCTAAAGTTATCTTGAATCTTGGGAAATTAATTTGTGGCCATTTATGTTTGGAATTAGATGCAGAACTAACCTTTCTGCACAAAATCAATGAAGGTAGCCATTTATCTGTGCTCAAGATATGATCAGTGACTGGCTCAGCGTTAAAGACCTCCATCCATGACCATTTGCATTAAAAGCTTAAGGGCAACGTGTTATTGCTTTGAAATTAATTTATGGAGCCTTTTCTAATGATTTTTACCAGTTTCATGTGGAAGGCAAATCAATGACCTAAAGCAGAGACTGAACATTGTCCTTTTGCATCAGAACACTTTAACTCTTCCCAGTGTTAACAGAGAAACTTTGATGTATATGGATTATAAAAAATTAACACTTATAAAAACTAAGATTACTATAGCACTTAAATGTAAATGATTATCAAAGTAGTTCCAGCAACTGAACTGCAGCAGGTCTTCATTTAGCAACTGGGGATTAACATTTGCGCGTAACTTTTTGCTGCAAAGGGAATCATCTAAACTTGTTTTAATTAACTGACATGCCTCATAGGCAAAACAAAAAAACAAAACCCTGTAATGTGGGAGGTCACTTCAGGGCCTTTACCAGTGATATAGCATTTTTAGCGTGCTTGGCTGAAAAATGTCTCCTTGAACACAAGTTGACATATTTATCTTTTGAGGCAAACAGTTTAGATGTTAGTTTTGAGTTAAAAGATTTAACATTTGGAGCCCAGTCCTGGGAAATTTTCATTTTCACACGCCTGTTTGGTTATTCTCAGGACAATGTGATAATACGTGCTGTACCAGCTTTATGCAGAGGCTTGCATTTCCAACGGTGAAATATTAAACAAAAATGAGACAAGTCAGTATTCTCATTCTGCACTGTCATTAATTTTATTATCACCTTGAGTGAAACGCACCATTCACATGGATTATTTGTGGTGGATGTGAAGCTGAGGAGATGCTTCCTTCTGTCACAGCTGTTTTTATAACTCAAATACAAAAACATGAAAATAAACATTATTGTTAAGAGGAAGCTGCTTTTAAAAAAAAAAAGACTAATAAAAAGACTTGTGTGTTTAACTGAATTCAGTACATGTAATCTGGTTGTTTTAGGGGTGAATGCTTGGCTTGAATGCACGTGTATTCTTGGATTTTTACAGATGTGTTTAATTGTTGCCAGAGGTAAATCCCCTTAGCTAAAATGTGGCATAAAAATCACAGATACATATTTCTTAAGTAACAAGTAGCAAGTTTCCTAAAATCTCATTGGTTAGAACAGCACAGGTTAAGGAGATAATAGAGAGAAGCTGGTAGGGATGCAACACGTTCAAACATAACACCAGGCTTTGATCTGCCATACCCAGACCTGATGAAACTTAAGACACAGCATAGCTGTGCTTCCCAATCCTGGCCCTGAAGTGCTGCTATCCAGGATGTTTTAGTTTTAACAGTTTGAACACACCTGATTTCAATCAGCAGGTGATGTAGGCTTCTGCAGTGTATGATGAGGTGCTGCACAGATGAGTCAACCACTGAATCAAGTGTGTTAGAGCAGAGAAACAACAAAAATGACCGGCCCTCAAAGACCAGGATGCAGAACCACTGGCATAGAGGGCTAGAACAGAGGCCTGCAAACTGCAGCTCTGAAGCCACATGTGGCTCTTCAACCATTTTGAAGTGGCTTTTTGTAACTTTAACCAAATGCCATGAGTCTACTATTATAAACTGACAATGAAAAAGTTTTCTTTTAACAGTTTTCACATCTAAACTGTTGCAATAAGAGCAACAGAATGAGCCTTAAAATACAAAGGCAGCATATTTTTGTGATATAGATGATGCATTGTGCAACATTTTTCATCATTTACAGTTCTGTCATGGGCTAAAATTGGATTGTGAGATCCGTTTTATTTCGTTGATGCAACTTTCTGATTTGCAGTGTGGTTGCTTTCAACTTCAGCGAAAAAGTCAGCCAAATTTCTATGAAAGTGTAAAGTAGTATTTCCAAGGACAGCGACACGGCAATGTGGTAAACTCCATAAATATATTATCTTAAAATATACAAAACAAAGAAAAAAATAATCTAACTTCTAAAATTACCTGGAAAAATAAGAATTTTTTAAAATAAAAGGTGTGGACGTATTTTTCTTGATTTTCTTTTTTTCTCAACGTCCTTGAACGCACCACTTCTTTTCTTTCTCCTCCAAGCCGCGCCTGCTTCCTCTTGGTGGGGTTGGAGGCTGACCGACGGGCGAGAGACAACCTATCAGCGGAACACATAAAAAGGAAGGACATGTGGAGAAAGAGGCTCATCTAGAGAGACGCGGCTTGCGTAACCTCATCAGCGTGAATTGTTTTGTGATTTTCGTGTCACCAGCACAAGGGTCCGTGTTTCTTCTTACGGACAGAGCAGTGAGGGAGCAGGACAACTCCGGGTAGACCTCACCGTCCACCCGGCCGTTTCCACTGTGTCTCAGTCCGTCCGTCAACCGTTGGGGGTCGAAGAGGATTCACCGGCTGGGTGAGCCTTTTGTTTCCTCATTGGGGGGCTTTATTTTATATTATAAACATTCAGAAGTTAGTTCAACACTGAAAAGAGCTCAGGCTAAACAAATTGTTGCTACGTGTCCCGTCTATAAGTTACGGTTGTTAATGGTTCTAAACTTTATGGTTCCCCTTTTGTGATTTTCTTTGGAAACCAGACACCCTCCCTTTACCTCGAGTGCATAAAGAACGTTTTTTTTTTCTTTAATACAGCGAAGAAGTCATAAACAAGTCCATAAATAACCACAAAATGACAAACAACAACAACAAAAAAAAAACACAACAAAAAAACGCAGTTTTGTCCCACTTTTCGTTCAGCTTGTGGTTCTAAAGTTGGTGACAGCGCAGATATAATGCTCTGCTTACAGTGAGCTAGCGTAGGAAACACATGGCTTACTGTTTAGTGTCCACGTCCAAAGCAAAAGGTGATTTTACAGCTGAGGAATGTGTGATTGTCAGCCCCGCTCGGATTCCAGTGTTTTCCTCCACATCTGGTTGATATTCAGTAGCTCTAAAATCAACAAAATATGTGAATAAAGGCGGGAGTCCGTGGTCTTCGTCCAACTATGCTTAGTATTAGGTTTAGTTTGACCCATTTTACTGTGAAGAATGAAAATATGTCATAAGATGGACTTACTGGTGGATCATCAATTTCCATCACATGATGAAAGAACATCTTAAAGTCTTATTAGCATTCATTCACTCTGGATGAGGTTTAGATAGAGTTATCCAATTACTGTGAAGGTTTCAGAACAAATGTAATGGGATCTTCACGTGGAAGTGGGCAAATCAAAGTCATGGAGCCATTGCCCGGCAGTCCTTCAGTGTGCATGGTTTGTTTACGAGATAAAGAGGTTTATTGTTTGGTAAAACGATTGTCATCTCAAGACAATGGTCATTTGTCAGATGGGTAAATGATGTATTTGTGTTTTTAAATGTGATGCACTTTTGCATAACCAGGTTGCTCATTAACATATTTGATAACCCCAGATACTGATTTAGAGTTTGACAGTAGTATGTTATGCACCTGCGCTATACAAGTACAACAATAGCAAGTTTATTTTAAACGAAGGAGTAAACGGGCACTCTGTGCTTCATCCATTTGAGCACCGGTGCGTAACAGCTAGGACCAGCAGATGTGAAGTGGAAGGAGACTGGAGACAACAAAGACAGCATTGTTGAAACTTTAGTTTATTTGTTTGCATTGATTAAAGATTTTTACTTTGGCACGAGTGCTCCAGCTTCTTCAACTTTTATTTTAAAGTTATGGTTAGAGTTTCCGAAAAGGTTGTTCACTGAAGCTACTGTTTGAAATTATTTTAAAGTCCAACCCTCTTTGTTCAGGCATCTTCCCCCCTGGTCGCACTTCCAGAATACAGGAACGTGCAATGTTTGTTTTATAGTTTCGACTAGTTGTTAGCGTCTTTTCTGCCATACTTTACAATTTAACACCTACGTAACCGAACAGCGATTTTGTTGTATGTTGGCTAATATGGTTTGGCGTTTTCAGTCTTCGCCTGTCTTGGTTTATTTGTAACTTCAAAATCACAGCAGCTCAGGGCCACCATCATTCTGATAAAACTCGCAAACAACTGGTCAAAACCAACAGAACCCACCCAGAGTTCCCCCTCACACACACGCACACGCGCACACGCATTACTGAGCAGCTCTGCCAACAGAGGATAGGCTGTATTGTTGGAAAACAGCTTTGTCGTCTAAACAGAACCAGACTCTAAACAGCTCCTTAAAGGAAATTTGCAAAACGGACACTCAATCCTTAACACTAGGTAGCTTAGCTCTGTCTTCACTTCCTGTTCAGCTGCTCCAAGATGAAAACTTACATAGAGGTAGAGGGAGGAACATTCAGAGGGCAGTTAGATGGATGGATAAGAAGAACACGGCATTCAAAATGATTGGATGAGGTTTTTCGGGGATTGCTTGTTCGAGAGGTGATCAGTTATTCTACTTTTTGACGAAACAACAAATTTATTGGTTACCATCGGTACATGAAGAGCATTTAAAATAATATGGTAAACACTGCTCCAGAAAAACATCCTCTAATGCACTTTTGACACAAACTAAACAAATTTGCTCATAAAATGTTTCATGCACCCATTTTCTTTTTAAGCCTGATATTCCTTTCATGCCAGGGTTTTACACTACAATCATTTTAATGTTTAGATACCCAGCTAAAGCCATTTTTGCCTCCAAATGTCACGCAATATCACCAGATTCTGCACTTGACTGAGTCATATTTTGCTTGTGTTTGCTGGTGTTGTGGTGACCATCCTGAATGGTGTTGACTCTAAAAGTGAAGCTGTTGTTGAAATACATCCAGAGATTACACTCTGAGAGTTTAATTAAAATCTATCCTGTGGTTTGTGAAAATAGTTGTCGAACAGGCAGAGAAAACACACGCACGCACGCACGCGCACACACACGCACACAGGCAGGCAGGCAGGCAGGCAAAGCATCTCAGCCAGCATCTTTGTTTATAAAGCAATCATCAATATAAATTATTAATGTTCCCATGAGGGCTTTGATTATTATTATAAACTAATATTACTGACAAGTTTTTCTGCCTCAAGGCAGAGAAAATAGATTAGTTGTAACCTTAATATTTTAACCAAGTCTTTCAAGTTGGCCTGTGCTTTTGCTTTTACTAAACTCACCATTTGCATTTATTGCATTTATATGTTGCATCTGCAACAGTGCCATCTCATTCTGAGCACTTGAAAATCAAAAGTGTGAATTTATTACACATGATACAATGGTAAACAGTCTGTATTTGCATAGCACCTTCTCAGAGTTCTACAATCCCCCAAGGTGCTTCACAGCACAATCAGCCATTCACAAAACCATTCACACGCTGGTGGGGATGAGCTACAATGTAGCTACAGCTGTCCTGGGCTCACTGATGGAGAAGAGGCTTGCTGAACATAGGCGAGGCGGGTTAAGTGTCTTGCCCAAGGACACAACAGCAACATTCTCTGGTCGGAGCCGGGATCGAACCTGCAACCTTTCGATTACTGGACAACTTGCTCTATTCCTGAGCTACTGCTGTCCCAAAGAGTGGTTAGGTGCGGTGGCCTGTTATTGCCCCACAGCAGTAAAGTTCTGGTTCAAACTTTTTAGCTGAATTACCTCCATGTGTCTGCACAGGTTTTCATCCATTCTCTGGTTTTCCAGTAGTCAGAGAGAGTTGGAACCTAATAGTTTTAAATGGCAAGTTGGAAGTTTTGTCACGTCTGTTTTTCTACTGACACCAACCCTGTTCCAACTCAACCAGTGTTGGTCAGATTGGGCTCCTGCCTGCAGCTGTCCAGTATATAAAAATAACACAGTAGCATGCAGTGTATAGGGTGTCTTGTTCAAGAATAGTGCATTCTAAGGTTTTTTTTTTCTTGCACTGTCATTTCCCATATGCTTGTGTTTGGCCTTTGCACATATGCCTGTTTGAACCTTCTCTGTGCTGTTCAGTTTATACAGTGACAGCCCAGGCCTACCTCAACACTAACAGGGCGAGTGTCCTGCAGTTAAAAAGATGTGTGCACAATGAATTTGATTAAAACTAAAGGGATTTATATCTGAGTATGCCTTCTGAAATATTGCCTATGTGTATAGGTGTTCATGGCTTTGGTTACTTTCTCAATTGATGTAAAATAAACATGTCAGACCTCCTTTCCTACTGTAACTGGTGCCATCTGTTTTGGCTGTATTTTAGTCTGAGGAATGTTGTGATCCATTTTATTCATCTTTTTTTGTTTTTGCTAACAAGAGCAGCAAACGTCATCCTGCTTCAGACCAATCAGATGAGTATAGTTGGCAATCTGTAAAATAGATAGTTTTCCTAAAACTTTCTCTAGAAATTAACCTGGAGGTCCAAAACTGAGCCAGTTGAGTAATTGCTTGTTTTCCCCAATTCAGATCCTTTTGCTTTCTCCACCTCCTACTGTTTTTCCTCAACTTTGTGTGCTTGTAGTGTCTTCTTGCTGTACTGTGACCTTCTCTGTCTTAATCTTTTTTAATTTGTTTAAAATTTATTTTCTGTTGCATTTGTTTAATGGTGTGATCTTGTTCAGTGATCAAGTATCTGAATTACTCACTAAAAACATTTCTTGCACTCCTTTCTCTTTAAAAAAATGTCCTCACAGATAAGTAAAGGGGTGTACCATGCTGACGAGCAATGGTCCCGGCCGCTTGCCTGCCTTTATGTCGCCGACCCACAGCAATCATCCGAGGTGTCCGGGTTACCTTCCTGGACGGGTGGCTCCCATCCGCTCACCCCCACCTTCCAAATCGCCACCGCCTCCACCGCTGAAACCACGTGGCCGATCACTGGAGCAAAGAACTAGACAGCAAACTACACTCAGCCTGTCCGAGGAGAACCAGCGCAGGGTGCATACTTGGAACCTCCAGCGACGAAAAAACGCGCTGATCTGCTGTGGCGTGTCTCTGGGTGCTTTCCTTGTCACACTCATACTTGTCTTCTGTCTCAAAAAAGGAAATGTCTTAGATGGTTAGTATTATAGAAAAAAAAACTCTATTCCTGTATATCATTCTGTGTAACCCACAGTTTGTCAATTTTCTGGAGAATTTCATCACAACTGTTATGTTTTCCAGTTGGTTACTGATGTATCATTTTTACAGAGAACTGTCCAGACCATAATCCAAGTCTAAGTAGCTGGAATCCAGGCCATCAACCAGACAAGGCTGTTGTTGTCAAAAGGGGCCATTTGTTTAGACTGGAAAGTTCTGCCACCTTTCTTTCGCTCACCATCCAGTCAGGAGGTAAGAATGTTGGCATGCAAGTGTTATTAGGTAGCATCTTAAAGGGGTGTAACACAGGGGAAAAAAAAAAAATTAAATCTTATTCTGGATTATAATCGATCACTCTGAAATTTTCATACAGATTGAACATGAAAATGGTCGGTCTCCTACACCTATCTCCTGCATTCGTTTCTGATAGGAAAAAGATGGTGAAACAGTAGGATTTGAAAACCCTGACAGATCTGTCACACTGCCACTTAACATTCATGGACTCGCTCATCTTGACTGGAGATGAGGAAGGCTGTTAATGATTTAGCGTCCAGGAAATTGCAGAGGAGTTCTTGACTAGTAGAAGCTAACTGTTAGCATTAGCAACTCCACCACACAGCAGAACCTCTCCAGTCTTGTATTTGTGGAGGTAGAACATCCACGTTGCATGCCGGTGGTAGAGGGGTGTTGCTGTTCTCTGAGGGGAGATGTCCTAATAAGACTCCCAAACCTGCCGTCTGAGGCTCAGCTGTTAGTACGACTCAAGGTCTTCAGTCCTACTGGAAATTAGGGCTAGGAGATGTGGCCTAAAATCAATATCACGATACGTTTAGGATTTCACCTCGATAACAATAAATGGACAATAACTACAGGTATGCGCAGAAACAAACTGTCCACTAGATGGGGCTGTTTTACGTATTACGTTGAGTCACATTTTTACGTCGATGCAGCTTCTTAAAGAGACATGAATGTTGCCAACCTACACACATTTAAAAAATTTTATTATCAAATTTATTGACTTGCGAAAAATTATCTAAGTCAGAAATTTTGATAATAAATTTTCTATTTAATTGCCCAGCCCTACTGCAAATGTATTGATCAAAGAGTGTTCAACACCTTTGAAGCTATAAGGATACAGATTCTCATCCAAAAACTTCAATTAAAATTGACATTTACCCTGTTTTTGTTCAATGCAGGCAGCTTAGGGTGTCATATATCCCAAATCATAAAGTCGACCACCTCCACCTGCTTCCCAATGCAAGTTAGTAAGGTAATGGCCACAGAGAAATGTATTATTCTGTCATAAGATTAGATACACCACCAGAAGTAACAATGTCCCAAACAACCTCAACATCAGCTACAAGGGTTGGAGACATGCTAACCTCGGAACAATGCTTGCCCGAGCCACTGCTAATGGACTTTATCAGATAACAGGATAACGACAAAGAAGAATTTCAGAGCTTGAATACAATGTTCCAGGGTGTTGGGAAGATCCAGAATTCAAATGAATGCCAGATGGATCCATAGCTTGCCTATTGAGTTATCTGGTTAGTCTACACAGCTGTACAGTTTGTAGCATCAGACAGCGTCATAGAGCCCTCCGGTTAAACTGTCCAATCGGTGCACACATTTAATATTAATACCCTGGCCAAAGAACGGAACAAACCAGTCATTCCATTGCAGGGTTTATTACGGGCTGTTTGGCTGATCTTCAGAACTCCTGTGCGAGTTTGAGTCCTAACAAAGTTTCATTAGTTCTAAGAGGCTCACAGAGCAGTTGTTCTAGGGGCCTTTCAGTTACATTCAGCAGATGTAATTCAATTTGTAAACCTTTTGAAAATGACTTTTCTTCTGATTTTTCACAGGTCTGTTAGTATTTGCTGACAATCCCGATGGATCCAATAACATAACTATAAGAACACATCACATCCTTATAGAAGATGGCGGAGCCCTCCATATCGGGTCACCCAAATGTCCCTATCGTTCTCTTGCAACCATTGCCCTTAGGGGTCGTTCAGATGACAAAGCAGTTGCGGAGGTCCCCGGTCTGGGCCGCAAATTCATTGGTGTCATGGGTGGAGGAACTCTGGAGCTGCATGGCATTGAAAGAGTTTCCTGGTCACTGTTAACACGAAGCATCCCAGCCTCTGGGCTTGCCACGGGGGGTTATGCCTTGCAGAAGAACTTCAGTCGAGGCATCAACCTTCGTGTGTTTGACCAGGATACGTCAGCTTTGCTGTTTGATGGACGCTTTGACACTCACGACTCCCGTAATGACAGCTGGAGGCTCACGCAGCTGCTTCGTACACTGCCGGCTGGCCGCATCGTTGCGCTGGCTGTGGGAGACTCTGCTGTGAAAAGTTTTCTGGATGAAACCAAGAAAGCTTTTAAGGAGGTACTTGGCAGCAGATTTGCCTATGATCTCAAGTTCAGGTAAGCATACTTCCAAACATACGCACTGATTATTGTTGGCTTTCTCTCGATGTCTGTTTTATGTGTAAATATGCAAGTGTCTTTTGGTTCTCAACGGTGTTAAATATATGCCTGCTCTCGGTAAGGAAATGTCTTTGGGAGTGTTTTGTTTAATCTTGCTCCCTGGTGCCTGATAGTAACGATTAATGGGCTTTTCTTTGACAGTTAAAGAAAACACTCCCATCCTACAAGCCTCAGAACATGAACTGACAGTATCTGCGTTCAGTTCCATGCACATCCTCCCAGGAAAAAAAATCTTCTGTGTCCCTCAGTTGGCATGCTACCCTGAATCTTGCTTGTCTTCCTGTTGCCCGGGTTTCTGCTGTATCACACTCAATAACAAAAGGAAGCATGTACAGGATAACGGGGCCATGGTCAAAGTTTACAGGATTTGTATCAAATCTGGCAACTTGTGATCATAAGAATAAGAGACAAAATCTCATAACTGATGCAGAAGTTTGTACCTGCATTGGTGCTCAGTGACAAGATTAGAGAAGAGGGTTTTCTTTCACTTGACGCTTCCTTTTCTGTTGCTTTCTCGCAAACACAATTATACACAAAGTCAGCATTTTCAGTCATTGTAGCAGCTGGGCCTGGTTGAGTTCATGGTTAACTCAGAGGCCAGGTCATGTTTCCTACTGAGGATGGAGGCCAAAGGCAGTGTGGGGATTTTCAACTAAATTCCTTCAAACCCTCATCAGTCCCGTTCAGACCACAGGTTCATAAAATGTTGGTCGAGACCCCCTGTGGGGTGTAATGCACCAAGTGGTGGGGTCTTTAGATGTGTTACAGAAATCACTTAAACTTATAGTTGTTGCCAACATTTAGCATGTGCAGTTTTAACTGTTAATGCTAAAGACCTTTACCAGAGATGATAAAGTACAAAAAATGTAATGGTCAATGATGCTAAATGATGATAAACAGCTTTTTATTTGTGTTTAACCTGCAACAGTTGGGGTTGTGAGTTAGTTTGTTTTATTTAGCTGAAAGTTTTGGGATTTAAACATGTCTCACAGCAAAATTTTAGACTTTTATTACAGGTTCAGTTTGAATTAGCTTTATTTTATGTTTATTTATTTGGCAGACGCTTTTATCCAAAGCGACTTACAATTTATAACCTATAGGGCATGTTGTGATCTGTGGGGGAAACTGGAGTACCCGGAGGAAACCCACGCATGCATGGGGAGAACACGCAACTCCACGCAGAAAGGCCGCAGCCGAGTTTCGAACCTGCAACCTTCGTGCTGTGAGGCAACAGTGCTAATTGCGCCACCATATATAGGTAGTCTATGTATTTAATTGTTAAAGCTGAGTGATGGAGACGGTGAGCTGTAAAGAGTCCTGTTGGATGGGGTATGATAAGTTGTTTAACGATGCAAGAACTTATTACAAAACAAGAACTGTGGCTTTAACAACCATGGAACCAAATCAGATGGGTATTTTGGGGAAATGTTGAAATAAACTCTTGGTCAGCTCTTTAAACTTCTGACCTAACATACTGCTGAGTTTACTTTTACCCATTTAATCTGAAAGGGTGGGTGTGGCTGTGTGTGTGTTACTGGAACACCCCCCCCCCCCCCCCAAAAAAAAAAAGAAAAACCAACCTTTTGATGTTTTAAAAGTTGGCTTCTTTAACATCAGCAGTCCTTCCTGGCTCAAACCATATCTGCTGTTGGCCTTCATCTTTAATCTTCATATCCCAGTAGCACGCACGCACACACACACACACATGCACGCACGCTTACACACACACACACACACACACACACACACACACACACACACACACACACACACACACACACACACACACACACACACACACACACACACACACACATTCAAACCATGCATACAGGCTGGTCTGTTGTTAATTGACCTCTGACCTCCACGTGTTTTTTATTGCAGTCAAACAATGAAGCGGTTAATATATGATCAAATCAAGGATGAGGGTGAAAGGATAAAGACGTGGATCCTGTTTATCATTAAGAGCAGGAGTCTCAGGCTCGCGGCCTGCAGGACAATGATTTGTGGCCCCTGCCCTAATATGAAAATTGAATATTAGTGCTGCCCACCAGTTTGATATGTAGGGCACTTTACAGTTTTGTGTGGGGAGCTGAATGAACAGACCAATCATGGTGAGGTGGGGGCGGGACATCGGCCACACATGATGCAAGCAAACATTTCTCTGAATGAAAGTTACAGCAGCGTTGCCTTGGACTGGCCAGTGTTTTCTCACTGCCTGGCAGGCTGAGATTCGTCCCAGCACACTGCGTTCTCAAAACTTAAAATAAAATAAAATAAATAAAAAAACCTCTGAGGAAATAGAACTGCTTCATGTTGAGTGTACACGTCTTTTTTAATTTTATTTTTGCAGTTTAAACAGTTTACATGTCTAACCTATGCGATCAGGAAGCAGAGCGAACCATAAACTGTGGGAATGTGGCGTCTGAGTTTTCTTAGCAGTCTAAAAAAACATAAAGAAGCTAAAAACAGTCAAATCAGTTCAGTGTCACGGTGGGAAATGGATTACAGGAGCCAAGTGGATTTTTTTTTACTAAAACACATAGTCAAGATAAACCAGCAAAGGTAAGACTGAATTCATGCTTCTGCCATTATGAGACAAGCTGTTTTTTGCTGCTTTGCTTGAAGCTCCGTGAGTTTTGCACATAGTACTTGTATTGTTTGAAAGATGAGTCTGTGCTTTAATTTAATGGCTGCTTTTGTGGACAGGTTCATTTAGCGCTGTCGCTACTGCATGTTTTTCTCTATATAAATTTAGTGTCTTTTTGTGTTTTCATTTAGCAGCTTTTATTGTTGGAATTGGGTGTTGTTGAGAAAATTATTAGATGAGCTTCTTCTCGTTAAGAAGATATAACCTTGTTTTTGGAGTGACTTTGTACCTGGAAGTGCATGCGGACCCGGGTTCATCTTATGGGCCATTCCCATCTGTACTGGGTCAGCCCGGGCCGGGTAGCGTAGGTTGTTTACATATCTGGGTGGCCTGATATTTTTCCGGGCCAACCAAGGCTCATTCTCAGCCCTCTTCTCGAGGGGGTCTGCTTCAGGCCGACCAGGGCCAACACACCCACTGCTGACAGCAAATTCACACCTTCCATTAGAGCAAGCCTCTGATTGGTGGGTAGAATCAGCCCACATGAGCTTAAGACCAGGATGTGTGGAATCAACCGGAGCAGGCTGGGGCCGACTGGGGCTACCCAGCCCGGGTCGACCCGGTACAGATGGGAATGGCCCATTAGTAGCACAGTATTGTTTCCGCCTTTTTCCTTTAACAACAGCACGGCGGGTAACAGTGAGACATTCAACGTGCGTCGGCCAAGCGCTCTCTAACAAAACACTGACACCAAGTGGAGTTGTATATTTTAGCACCAAACATGTCTTTTTCAAAGCCTGCAGTGAAGGGAAAGGTTGGTGATGAGCACAGACAGTTTCAGGAAAAGTGGGAAATGCAATACTTTGCTGAGCACCGGGGCACCCCATGTGTCTTATTTGCACAGAGAAAGTAGAGGTACAGAGAAAGTAGAGGTGAACAAGGAATACAATTTGAAACGTCATTACACAACTAAACATGCTGAGGAGTATGCAAAATACCGAGATGAGGGAGCCAAACAGATTGCCAAACGGATTGCCAATCTTAAAACATCTGTTCTGAGGCAACAAGATTTCTTCAAGAAAGCAGCCAAAGAGAGTAATGCAGCAGTTGAAGCTAGCTACATGGTTAGTGAGATGATTGCTACAGCAGGAAAGCCATTCACTGATGGTGAATTTGTCAAAAAGGCTGCAAATATAGTCTGTCCAGAAAAGAAAAATCAGTTTAGCAACATCAGCCTTTCAGCCAACACAGTAGCAGATCGCATTTCTGATCTGTCAAGTGACATTTATGACCAACTGTGTGAGAAAGCTAAATCTTTCAGTGTATACTCGGTCGCTCTTGATGAGACCACAGACATCACCGACACTGCCCAGCTCGCCATGTATGTCCGTGGTGTTGATGACAGTTTTGAAGTGTTGGAGGAGTTGCTCACAGCAACTCCAATGCATGGCCAGACCACCGCTCAGGAGTTATTTCGGCAGCTCTGTGATGCCATTGAGAATGTGGGTCTGCCATGGAAGAGGTTTGTTGGAATAACAACTGATGGAGCCCCATCAATGACAGGGAGGAAAAATGGACTGGTGGCACTTGTTAAAAAAACTGGAAGAGGAGGGTGTGGAGGAGGCCATTGCTCTACACTGCATTATCCACCAGCAGGTCCTTTGCAGCAAATGCCTGAAGTTTGAAAATGTGATTTCTGTCGTTGTGAAATGCATCAACCAAATCAGATCCAGGGGCTTAAAGCACCGACAGTTCCGTGCCTTTTTAGAAGGAATAGTCAGAATATGGGGATGTGCTCTACTTTCGCGAGGTACGTTGGCTCAGCAGGGGAAACGTACTGAAGAGATTTTTTTGAATTGAGAGCAGAGGTGAAAGGCTTCATGGAGAAGGATGGAGTGGCTGTTCCTGTGCTAAGTGATCCCAAATGGCTCATGGACTTAGCTTTCCTTGTTGATATCACACATGAGCTGAATTTACTGAACAAAAAGTTACAAGGTCTGGGGCAACTTGTCAGTTCTGCCTATGTCAGCGTGAGCGCATTCTCCACAAAACTTGTTGTGGAAAGCCCAGCTCTCTCAGACAAACCTTTGCCATCTCCCAGCATGCAAGACACTCGTGGATGCGGGCACACCATTCAGTGCTGAGAAGTATGTTGGTGTCATTTTGAGGCTACATGAGGAATTTGATCAGATTTGCAGACTTTGCAAGATGCTCCCCCTGTGCTTCAATGGAGCTTATTGAGCTGCAGTGCAACTCTGAACTCAAAGCCAAGTTCAGGGAGATGAATGGAAACGCAGACAAGCTTGGACAGTTTCTCAGAGAGTTGACCCCTAGCTTCCCTGAACTTTCCCGAATGTTCAAGCGGATGATGTGCCTTTTTTGGGAGCACATACTTGTGCGAAAAGCTCTTCTCCACCTTGAACTTCAACAAGTCCAAGTACAGGTCCAGACTTACTGATGATCACCTTCAAGCCATACTGAGGGTCTCAACTGCTTCCTCCCTTAGGCCAAATGCCGCTCAGCAATGTAAGAGGAGGCGCTGCCAGGTCTCTAGCAGCAAGGATTAGGCAAGAGAAACTGCGTTCAGAAGAAGGTTAAAGAACTGTTAATCCAGACATTTAAATCTGAATACAGCCAATATAGGTTTCTAAAGAAACCCAATAGTCGCTGAGAAATCAAATAATTTTATTTATTCATTACTGATTACTTTTCTTATTCATTACTGATTAGTTGTATATTTTTCCATCATATTTAGTGTTAAATGAAAATGAGATTTGAGAAGATGTTTTTAAAAAAAAATTTGACATTGCTTTTCTTGTGGAAAACCTAATGTGGCCCAGCCTCACCTAGAATTTGCCTTCAGCGGCCCTCAGCTAAACTGAGTTTGAGACCCCTGATTTAGGGTCATTGTTACTTTGGTGCACAAAAAATGTTTTTCTTTGTCTTTTAAGCCGTCATCAGATTTGGGTTTTAAATTCACCTTTAACAACACAGCTTGAACGGTTTAAAGGAGAATAAAATGTAATGTGTTTCACTGTGTTTTAGATAATAGCATATTATTTATGTGTCAGTCCAGTACTGGTTCACACGGAAGCAGAATATTAATGCTATAGTTACAATCATGATGTTTGAGCCTCAGTCTGAACTGCAGTACTCTGCCTTGATTTAGCTCCTATGCCCCGGAGAAGCACCCAGCCCCATTCCTTCAACATCCACACCCTTTAGATGGTTTTATTTTTACCATTCATCTTGATGTTTTTACAAAATAATAATCAAGCTAACTTATTCTATAACTACGGTGAATGTGGAAGTAACATTTTTCTAAGCTTTAAATATTCTTTCTGATCTAGTGCTGCTGTGAGTACACTTATATGTGACGGTCGTAACACAACAATAATCATTTCTGACGTTTAAAGCACTTGATAAAGGATTGCAACTACGGTTTAAACCAATGTGAGCTGGTGTTTAGGCAGATAAATAGATAAAATATACTTGATTATTGCCCACCATTATTTTAACAAATTATGGGAACACCATAGTTAGAATATTTTAATACTATTATCTATAAACTTTAAACCTATAATGTCCTCCTGCTGTTTGTGTCTCACCTTTTTGTTTTGTCTTCGGGGTGTCTCCAGGCAGGCCTGGGCTTTGGTTTCTGTGGTTGGAGGTGGAAACACGTCCTGCTCAGAGGATATGAGAGAACATGAGAACCTCAACACAGGAGGAAGAGCTCTAGCTAGGTGCAACTTCACCACTGTGGATGGAGTGGGCTTCTCTGTCACCGCCCACAGCGAGTGGAAGAATGGTGAGAGCTTTGCCTCAAACTGTCATCAAATGTTTATCTGATTATGAAGTTATTAGATGGTGTGTGTGTGTGTGTGTGTGTGTGTGTGTGTGTGTGTGTGTGTGTGTGTGTGTGTGTGTGTGTGTGTGTGTGTGTGTGTGTGTGTGTGTGTGTGTGTGTGTGTGTGTGTGTGTGTGTGTGTGTGTGTGTGTGTGTGTGTGTGTGTGTGTGTGGGTGTGGGTGTGGGTGTGGGTGTGGGTGTGGGTGTGGGTGTGGGTGTGGGTGTGGGTGTGGGTGTGGGTGTGGGTGTGGGTGTGTGTGTGTGTGTGTGTGTGGGGGGGGGGTGTAGCCGTGGTGCTAGAATTTCAACCATGGTGCAGTGCCACGGCTGAGTCTATGTAGGGGACACAGTGTGCTAATATCTTGCAAATTAATGTTGCGTAAAAAATCTATTATTGCTCATGTTCAGAGTTATCAAGGAAACAAAGACAAACATGGCTGGAATCTCACAGTATTCCCTCATATCAGCAAGTAGGGAATGATAAAAGGATGTTTGAGGTATTTTGGTCGCTGCAGTATACCTGGTTACACAAACAGCAAAAACAAATCTAGTCAGTCATGGCTAAATAAAAAGAACACTTCATTTCCACCTAATTTACTTGCCTGAATAAGAAGAAATGCGTGGAAATGCTCACTGTCCCCCCAAAAGTTAAAAACGGCAAATCTGAGCTCAAATTCTAGGTCAGAACATTACCCCAGCAATTTCTACAAATTTAGAGAACAATTTTTCTGTAAAATGTATCGCCACATGATTGACTGGACGTTTAAGATGGACAGAGAAGCAGCAAGCTAACAGGAACAGTGCCCACTACCTGTAGAAATTCTCTGGTTATATATTTGTGCTAGGGCTGTGCGATATCGCCTAAAACAGAATCGCAATATATTGAGGATTTCACCTTTAACGACAAATGGACGATAGCTACAGGTATGCACAGAAACAAAATTTGTCCACTAGATGGGGCTGTCATGTATTACGTTGAGTCACATTTTTACGTCACTTGAGGTGGTACAGCTTCTTAAAGGGACATGAATATTGCCAACCTACACACATCTTTTCACTTTTTTATTATCAAATTAATTGACATGGGAACAATTCTCTAAGAATCAGAACGTTCGATAATGATAAATTTTCGTTATGTTGACTAGCTCTAATTTTTACTGATATAACCTTTACTGAGCTATCTTGTGTCTTGTTTGAATGTTATTTTGTACATCCCAAGATGTTGTCTTGTCCAAATGTTGTGAATATGTTTTTGCCCCAGACCATCACAGTACCACCACCATGTTAGACTGTTGGTATACTGTGAAATACTTCATCACTGCTCTTTATTAGCTCATTTATTCAGTATTAAATCCATAAATACGTTTTGTTTTTAGTTAATATTGAATCATTCAGATATATAAAGCTGAGTGGTGGTATATTATTTTCCAGCTGTTATGAGATCTTGAGACCTTTGACTATTTTTCTTCCTTATCCTGTGTTACTCTACTTGTAAGATAAAAACAAGTTTTACACACTAATGCATTTAGAGATACTGATTGTCCAGTCACTGAGGTGCTGATTAAAATAGTGCTTTATTCATCATATTCATTGTGAGCGCTAGTGAAGAGAATAATTTCTGATAAAAGGTTGAGCTGAAGGGCTTCCATACAAAATATGCTAACTACACTGTCCCACATCCTAAAGCTCAGGCTTTTTTGTTTATAAATGTAAAACACAGTTTATACTTCAGATATTTATTTGTTCTCAAGTTTAACCAGTTTCTCATTTTGTTCTGATTATCTTGCCATGTCCTACAGGCTACCCCACCATGGGCTTCCAGGTGGATGCTGTGGATCAGGTGGTGCTAAACCTGCAGGATGAGGTGCAGCAGAGCTGGAAACCAGGCGATGTGGTTTTAGTAGCCAGTACAGACTACTCCATGCACCAGGCTGAAGAGTTCACCCTGCTGCCTTGTCCCGAATGCAGCAGCAGACAGGTCAGGATACAAGGTGAGACAGAGGACATCACTGTGTCTCTGGCTTCTGCTGCTGCAACCATCGTCTGAATGTCAGCCCCTTTCATTTGCATGAGATACGTCATTTTTGTAGTTTTGTACCAGTCAGTAACGTTGATGAGAAAACCTAATGGGTCATGCGCAGGCAAAGTAATATAGTCAATAAATGTGATGGGCAGAAGTTATGCTAATAATGGTCAGGTTCAGTGGGGTCAAATATTCTTCTCAGCTGTTGTGATGATGTAAGATTTGAAGGGATTTATTAGCTTATATTTTATCACTAACATTATTTTACTTGAACTGCAAGAATTTCATGGCTTCCTCTGCTTCCTCGATGTTGTTTACAGTAATTACACTGAACAAAAATATAAACGCAACACTTTTGTCTTTGCTCCCATTTTTCACGAGCTGAACTCAAACATCTGAAACTTTTTCTACATGCACAAAATACTCACAACTTTCAAGTATTGTTCTGAAATCTGTCTACATATGTGTTGGTGAGCACTTTTCCTTTACCAAGATAATCCATCCCACCTCACAGGTGTCTCATATCAAGGGGCTGATTAGACAGCATGAATAATGTATAGGTGTCTCTTAGACTGCCCACAATAAAAGGACACCCTGACATGTGCACAGTTTTGCTTTACAGGGGGTGGTAGGACAGAAAACCAGTCAGTATCTGGTGTGGCCACCATTTGCCTCACACAGGACAACACATCTCCGTCGCATAGAGTGGGTCAGGTTGTTGGTTGTGGCCTGTGGAATGTTGACCCACTCCTCTTCAATAGCTGTGCGAAGTTGCTGAATATTGGCAGGAACTGGAACACGCTGTCGTATACGCCGATCCAGAGCATCCCAAACTTGCTCAATGGACGACATGTCTGAGTATGCTGACCATGCAAGAACTGGGATGTTTTCATCTTCCAGGATTCGTGTACAGATCCTTGCAATATGGGACCGTGGATTATGCTGCAACATGAGGTGATGGTCGTGCATGAATGGCACAACAATGGGCCTCAGGATCTCGTCATGGTTCCTCTGTGCATTCAGAATGCCATCACTAAAATGCACCTGTGTTTGTTGTCCTTAACATGCACCTGCCCATACTAGTACCCCACCGTCACAGGTTCCACAACGTTGACATCAGCAAACCGCTCACCCAAACACGCAGTCTGCCATCTGCTCTCAGCAGTGAAAACCGGGACTCATCCGTGAACAGCACGCCTCTCCAAGGAAAAATTCTCACTAACATGCATTTAGACAGATTCAGAACAATATTTGAGAGTCTTGGATGTTTTGTGGATTCAGAAAAAGTTTCAGATGTTTGAGTTCAGCTCATGAAAAATGGGAGCAAAAACAAAAGTGTTTATATTTTTGTTCAGTGTATCTATCTGACATCTCTCATTCCTCTGTGGTCAAAAGATGTCCACTCCCTTCCTGGAGAGGGGGGTGTATCATGTTCTTAGTTTGCTGCTGCCTTGAGGAAAGGCTGAAAAGTCTTAAATATGACCAAAACCAGCTGTGACTGTAAGGAGAAGTGGTGCCTGCATTATTAAAGAGCTGTTTGTTTAGTTTTTGATAACTTTTGTGTTCTTTATTTGGAAGCTTCAGCCAGTCTAGTGCTGATATGAGACTCTTTCTGTGTGACTTGTCTGTGGCACCCAGGAAAGCCTCGATACAACCATGTCGGGGAGATCATCGATGGAGTGGACATGCGTGCTGAAGTCGCTCTGCTCTCTAGAAACATTCTCATCTATGGAGAAATGGAAAACTCCTGCTATGGAAACAACAAGTGCCAGTTCTTTAGCCACGACACATTTGGAGGCCACATCAAGGTGTGTGATTATTGTAGCGCGCAGTGTTTGGGTGGTAATTTGTGTCTAAATTTACTCCTGCTTACCACAACTTTAGTTTTTCATTAAAGGTCATGATGTCTGCAGGAATCTGCCTCAGTTTCCCTGTTCGGAAGCCAAATGTTAACTAAATCGGTTAGGAGACATTGATTATGTTCTCTTTTGCTTCTCTTCTAGTTGGCAGTAAGCTTTAATTTCTCCTATTCAGCCTTGATCTTCAGAGATGTCTTAAACATAAACATGAACGAGCATTAACCCCTTTATACAGGGAGTGCAGAATTATAAGGCAAGTTGTATTTTTGAGGAATGATTTTATTATTGAACAACAACCATGTTTTCTGTGAATCCAAACAACTCATTAATATCAAAGCTGAATGTTTTTGGAAGTAGTTTTTAGTTTGTTTTTAGTTTTAGCTATTTTAGGGGGATATCTGTGTGTGCAGGTGACTATTACTGTGCATTATTATTAGGTAACTTAACAAAAAACAAATATATACCCATTTCAATTATTTATTTTTACCAGTGAAACCAATATAACATCTCCACATTCACAAATATACATTTCTGACATTCAAAAACGATACAAAAACAAATCAGCGACCTATATAGCCACCTTTCTTTGCAAGGACACTCAAAAGCCTGCCATCCATGGATTCTGTCAGTGTTTTGATCTGTTCACCATCAACATTGCGTGCAGCAGCAACCACAGCCTCCCAGACACTGTTCAGAGAGGTGTACTGTTTTCCCTCCTTGTAAATCTCACATGTGATGATGGACCACAGGTTCTCAATGGGTTTCAGATCAGGTGAACAAGGAAGCCATGTCATTAGTTTTTCTTCTTTTATACCCTTTCTTGCCAGCCACGCTGTGGAGTACTTGGACGCGTGTGATGTAGCATTGTCCTGCATGAAAATCGTGTTTTTCTTGAAGGATGCAGACTTCTTCCTGTACCACTGCTTGAAGAAGGTGTCTTCCAGAAACTGGCAGTAGGACTGGGAGTTGAGCTTGACTCCATCCTCAACCTGAAAAGGCCCCACAAGCTCATCTTTGACGATACCAGCCCAAACCAGTACTCCACCTCCACCTTGCTGGCGTCTGAGTCGGACTGGAGCTCTCTGCCCTTTACCAATGCAGCCACGGGCCCATCCATCTGGCTATCAAGTCTCACTCTCGTTTCATCAGTCCATAAAACCTTAGAAAAACCAGTCTTGAGATATTTCTTGGCCCAGTCTTGACGTTTCAGCTTGTGTGTCTTGTTCAGTGGTGGTCGTCTTTCAGCCTTTCTTACCTTGGCCATGTCTCTGAGTATTGCACACCTTGTGCTTTTGGGCACTCCAGTGATGTTGCAGCTCTGAAATATGGCCAAACTGGTGGCAAGTGGCATCTTGGCAGCTGCACGCTTGACTTTTCTCAGTTCATGGGCAGTTATTTTGCGCCTTGGTTTGTCCACACGCTTCTTGCGACCCTGTTGACTATTTTGAATGAAACGCTTGATTGTTCGATGATCACGCTTCAGAAGCTTTGCAATTTTAAGACTGCTGCATCCCTCTGCAAGATATCTCACTATTATTGACCTTTCTGAGCCTGTCAAGTCCTTCTTTTGACCCATGTTGCCAAAGGAAAGGAAGTTACCTAATAATTATGCACACCTGATATAGGGTGTTGATGTCATTAGACCACACCCCTTCTCATTACAGAGATGCACATCACCTAATATGCTTAACTGGTAGTAGGCTTTCGAGCCTATACAGCTTGGAGTAAGACAACATGCATGAAGAGGATGATGTGGACAAAATACTCATTTGCCTAATAATTCTGCACTCCCTGTAAATCTGAACAAGGAAAACAGGAAGGACCCATAAAGCCAGCTCCAGAGCCACGTGGCTCTAATTTTGAAAATACACACGAAAACATTTAACTCTCCCTTAAATGTAAATTTTCTCTTAACATTTTAATAAAACAAACTCCCAATCTGTTACAAATAAAAACACATTTTCTTGTATAACAGGAATTACAGCACTGTGACTTTCTGAAGTCTTTTCCTGAACCTTTGCAGATTTCTCTCCAACTGTGCAGGATGCGGCGAGCTTGCCCTTGCCTGAGGCATCGCCAGCCGTATCAACTGTTTTACGTGCACGTGTGTTTGTGTAAATTGCAGAGAGAGAGGGTGAGGAAGCTGGACAGTAAGGGCAGGCTGGGTTTTAGTTTGCTGAAAGGATTGGCCAATTCCTCCTTAACAGAAACCAGACTCTCGTGGATTGTGCTTTATCCACAAAAGACCTCCGAGAGAGCTGTGTACGACATGTTTGCACTGGATGACATTCACATTTTACAGTTGTGTTTTTGTTTCATGCTTCTGTAACTGACATCACATTTTTCATCTAAGTCTGTGGTTTAGGGCTACTTGGACTTGCTGACACTGGCTCTATATTACACCAGTTGGATTCTTTGAAGAACAGAAAAGAAGGAAAATTCTGCAGAAGATCTGAAATATTTAATTAATCCTTTATCAGTCGGCGTGTATTTTCTGTCATCTGTAACCGGTGCAATTGTTTTTTGGCTTGTTTGTTGAACTGTAACTGGGCTGCATAAATGATTTTGACATCCCGTCTGGTGCGGCATCTCTAAACCAACTTCTCTGGGCTCTGCCAACACAGATCTTTGCTAACTTCTCGTCGGTGCATCTGTCCCATGTGGAGCTGAAGAACATGGGGCAGCAGCGAGAAAAGGGCCGCTACCCGCTACACTTTCACATGTGTGGGGACGTGGACCAGAAGGGAGGCTACAGGGAGCCCACTTATGTGGACGGGCTCTCCATTCATCACTCCTTCTCCCGCTGTCTCACTGTCCACGCCACCAACGGCCTGCTGGTTAGTAAAGTGTTTACATGTGTGGGGACGTTTATAAACACAAGTGTAGGAGACAGACGAGTACCATGGTATGTTCAGCCATTTTTCTCCTGATGGGTTTTCTGCGCTAAATAATGAGTGTGTTTTTCTGGTGTTTGTGTACTTGTTTGTTCTCTTTCAAGATCAAAGGGGCATTGATTATCCTGAGGGCAAGAGACGGAAACATTCCTGACATTCTAGAGTAAAATCAAAGTGTTCCATTAGAATCCATCATGTTTCTAAATACTTTCTAATGTGTCTTTGTAAGGAGCTCTTGGTTTACCAAGTCTCTCTTCACATTTTATGTTAATATTTGCTCTGATATTTGTAACGTTCAGGGAAGCAGACGCATGGAAAACTCTGCAGTTTCCTCCGGGCTGCTCAAGTAAAGAACCAGATGTTACATTAGACTCCATATTTTCCAGGATGTTTAGCATTTTATTGTGAAACCGTATTATTTCTTGGAAGGAGGCTGTTGTTTAGCATTTATTTCCCTCTGGTTGTGCCATTAATTCTTCTTTATGCTGTGTGGTCTTCTGTCTTTGACCCAGGTGAAGAACACTATCGGTTACGACACGTTGGGACACTGTTTTTTCCTTGAAGATGGAATTGAACAGAGGAACACGTTCTACCACAACCTTGGCCTGTTGACTCAGCCCGGGACTCTGCTGCCGACCGACCGCAACGAGACGCTGTGCACCAGCATCAGGGACAACGTCCACAAGAGCTACATTCCCTCGCCAAGCACAGAGTGCAAGTAAGAGACTGTTATGTATGATCTTTGAAGAAGTTATTATATTTTTGAGTGTGTTGTAAGTTTGATTTGTACTGCGCTGTAAAGTGGTGTGTAAAAACGTAAGGGGGCAATTCTTGCTATTCCTTAAACTATCCCAATCCTAAACAGATTCTATGTTCAGATTAAAATCTATTCAAATCACATCTGATTATTCAAGCATAAAATACCCGTTTAACGCTTTTAAATGTATGTTGGTGTAAAAATAATCATAAAAATCTGAGTTAGGCACAGAAACTGAACGAGGAGGTGCAGACAAGCTGTGAGAAAAAACAGATAAGTTATGTCTACATTAGAAGTGATACCAAACTGAATGAGAGCTATCAGCAGGCTAGTTTTATCTATTGAAAAACAACCGTTCCTCCCTTTTGGGATGTTTTTATATCGTAGGAATAACAAGAGCAGTCAGGAGGAAGGTTCGCCTCCATGGCTGTGTGCTGTGTGTCTTGGCAGAGCGAACCTGAAGGGATTATTGAGCAAACTGAGGAAGATTGGAATCAATCCTTTAGGGCTGGACAATAATTCAACAATGATATATATATCGATCAATAGACATGTGGTTCCATAGGAAAAAAATTGATAATTAAAAACTTGAATTAAGGTTTCCTTTTTCCATTATAGCCTTGGGTAGCTTTATTTTAGAGTCATTACTAGCCAACCAAGTAAAAACACAGACCCAAGCACACTTCATCACCAAGCCCTCCCCTCTCAAACCTAAACCTGTGACTTAAACAAGATGTTGCAGCAAGGAGAGGTGGAAGAAACTGCCCCGAAAAGAAGTTACAGTGCTTCACCAGTGTGGCAATATTTTCATTTTTACAAGATAGACAAAAAACAAACAGTGGTTTGCAACAGAGAATCAATTAAAAAAATAAAAATAAACAAAAAAAACAAGTCTGGTAATGCAACCAACTTGTTTTATCATAAAGTAATGGCTTAAGATGGCCAGGGCTGCACTTACAAGATGTTTTTGACATTTTTATAGTTTTCTAGGGATGCACCGATAAGTTAACCAATACCAGGAACCGATACCAACGCAGTTGCTTGAAAGCGACTTCACTGTAACTTGTCATTTGTGTTCACCTAATATTTTAGTTTTATGATAATTTCTATTCATATATTTAACTTTTATCTACCACAGTCTTTTCCTGTGGAAAGCAGGGAAGTAAATAAAACCTGTTTTCCAATTAATTGCATTTTTTGTGTGGTAGAAGTATCGGTAATCTGTATCGACGAGTACTCTGATCCAAGTAGCTGTATCGTATCGGTTTGGAAAAAAAGTGGTATCGTTGCATCCCTATAGTTTTTCAATAATTATTGATATTGATCAATGAATAAAAAAATTTTTTTATCGATGAGCTTTTTATCTATATTGTCCAGCCCTTCAATCGTCTACTAGTCACTAGTTGATGTGCCAATGTATTGTTGGTAGTGATGCACCAATATGAAATATTTGGGCCGATGCCGATATCAAGATTACCGTTATGGCCGATAACCGATATTTGCCGATACCGATATATACCGACATTAATGCTTCTAAAATCAGCAGATTTTGTATAGAATAAAAATTATTAAAGCTGAATTTGTTATTATGCACACACAACACACACATTTACGCTTTTGAGATGATTACTGTCACATGATTAAACAAATACACATCACTCCCCTAACCCTCTGAAACACTCAAACAAATGGAGACAAGATGGGAAAAAATATCGGTTGTTGATATCGGCCCAGTTTAATTTATCGGACCTATACCGATATGTTAAACGACTAATATCGGCCGATATTGTTGCAGTTATATTGTCCATCCTTAATTGTTTGTTTATTTATTATAATTGTGTATGATTGTGCTGTTTCCAGGGCAGTCTCAACATTCTGGATCGCCAACCCCAACAACAACCTTATTAGCAACGCGGCTGCTGGTTCTCAGGTGATGTTTTTATGTTAGAAGGTTCAAAGAGACTCATGTGTTTTTTTTTTCTAAATGGATTAAACCAAAATGAACAATTAGGACTTCAACATAATAATTGACTTTTCTGGCTGTAGTGTTTCTTATTGTTGCATAATCAAAATAAAATGAAAATATTTTCTTGCTCATAACAAACTGACCCCTCAATAAAACAGGGGTAAGATGAGTTCTGTGTTTGAGTGAGACGTGCAATAATGTTGTAAGACTTAATCTATGAAAGGATTAAAGAAAATCCCTCATTTTTATTTTGGCTCAGCCAACATGGAGCTCCACAGGCTAAGGGTAATAAAAGCTGGAAAACTCAGGCATGGAAAACAAAGGCGGTGGGGATCGAAGGGGTTTGAATCAGATCCCTTTGACCCACGTTATTATTACTGCGGGACACAAAGGACATGAGAATAGTATGAGATCCTACTCAGGCTGTTGCGTCTGTGTTCTGTAACATATTCTGTATCTGACTGCTCTCTACTCCCTCTTTCCCCCAGGATGCTGGTATTTGGTTTGTGTTTCACCGCTCTTCCACTGGAGATTCTCACGGGCTGGTACCAGAGACCAGAGCAGAGCTCACTCCTCTTGGAATTTTCTACAACAACCGTGTTCACTCCAACTTTAAGGTATCTCTGGTGTTGCTTGTCTCACACACACTTTTACACCAGATGCTAAAACAAAACAGTTAAAAAATCAATTGTTTACATACTTGGTTAATGGAAACACACAGACATGTTCTACAATGGTGCTCTGTTGTGTGATGACAGAAAGCGGGCAGGTAAACTGTGAGCTCTTTATCCAGTCTGACCACAGCAGCCTCCAACAGAGGAAGGAGCCCTGTGGTCAGAGACTAACCCTCACTTATTCCAACTCACAGCACGGATTTCCATAAGACGCAGCGATTCATCATACAAGTCTTATTTATTTCCCCCCATTTAGAACTTTCGAGCACTTTAAAGTACATATTGTCTGACTCATGTTAGTTTGACCGAAATCCTCAATGTTTAACTGTTTTTAATCTGAATCTTCTTAGGCAGGGCTGTTTATCGATAAGGGAGTGAAGACGACCAAAGCTAACGCCGCAGATCCACGGGAGTACCTCTGTCTAGACAACACCGCCAGGTGAGCAGTGTTTTCACTCGTAGCTGTGCTCTGCTAACTAGTCTGTGGTCGGTTATCACATCCGTCATGATGCTCATTACACCCAGTAAATATTTAGGTATCGGTGGTTTGCTAATTTATTTGTTTAATGCCACAGTTAATAAATGAGAACGAATAAAGTAGTTGTTTTTATGTGCTGGGGCTTGGCCATTGACGGGGAAAGATAGCTACATGGTTTTATAACGAGTTGCTGCATTTCAGAGGAATGTCCGACAAGTCTGTGTTGACAGAGAAAACACAGCTTCACAGATAGTTTCCACTCTGCAGCTCCTTACCCAAACACAGCCCACGGCTGGATGGGAAAAAGTCCCGCGTACCTGCCGAGACCACTGGGCACGCACACACATTCACACTCTGTAAACGAGTGTGTGTATGAATAGGAAGGGAAATTATTTTTTTTTTTTAAAGCAAAAGGTTAGTGTTGTGTAATAAAAAATAATCCAGTAAGAAGATACTTGAAGGGAAAGGTTGTTGCTGGTTTTGTGAACTTTCAGTTTCAAATCCAGGTCACATTTTCCCTGGAGGAGGACTTTGGTCCTCTAAGTTTATTTTTAAAACCTATCCAGAGGAAGTGTCTTTATGCTCCGTGGCTTTCAGGCCATCACATGGTTAGCCCGAGGATTTTACCTCTTAAATGTGTCTGCTTTCCTCCAGGTTGCATTGTGGGTAATAAAGTGTTGTGGTGTCTGCGATAGCTACGCAGAAATCATTAAATTGTTAAACACTCAGAACATTTAGAGTCGGGGGAAACTGCATTGATTATTTCTTACATATTTTAAGATTTCGACCTCACCAGAACTCCGACCCCACTCGTCCTCGTGTGACAGCCGTCATCGACACGCTGATCTCCTTCAAGAACAACGACTTAGGAGCCTGGATACGGGGTGGTGACATCATCATTCAGAACTCGGGGTGAGACGGCTGACTGGTTTCCAGTCAGACAAGCCGCCACACAGATTTCTTCAAATAAACGGAGCACGAAGCTTCTGGTGAAAAAATCAGTTACGCTGCTGGAAATGGGATTTTTACTGGAAGTGTAATGGAAACCAGTATGACGGCGTCTCTTGTTTATTATACTTTTTAAAATTCAAACCAAATATTTGCACGACTTTGTTTTGTTTTTGCCTCACAATCAGTTGGTCGCTTTTAGAAGACAGGTTTATTTTTTGTGATTTATGGATTTTGAACATTTTCCACAGTTTTTATTTATTTTTGAACCATTTTCCTCTTATTCTCAGCATGCTGGAATAAAATTTAAGTTCAGTTCAAAGGAAAAGTTTAATTTTAAGATTGTTTTGTTGTATTTTTGCAGCTTTGCTGACAATGCTGTGGGACTGTCATTTGCCAGGTTTGAATTCTAAATAAGAGCCATAACAAACACGAATTGTCAAACCTGTTCTTGAACACAACTCAACACTTTTATCACTCGACTCTCCAGCGATGGCAGCTACCCTAAGGATGAAGGCTCCAGCCAGGAGGTGACGCAGTCCTTGTTTGTGGGCGAGAGTCAAAACCGAGGGACTAACGGGGGACAGAACAAATACTGGGGAGTCGGAGGGACAGATGGAAGGATGAGGACCCTGCCAAGAAACAGGTAAAGGAAAGAAGTCAAGAGGTTACTTGATGAAAATGAAAGATGAATAATAATAATCGGAGGTGGTGGGTCGCACCACAGCTGCTTCCGTTAAAGATCTGAGAGGAAGTTCAGGTTTGACTCGATTCCTCCTGGTTTATAAAAACTAACATTCTTAAGGAAAATGCCTTCAGATTTAAAAGACTTTATATCAACATCACACTTTCATTTTTCTTTTTTTCTGAGCTTCAGATGAATATGTCACAACTTAATTTATCTGCTTTCAACCCCTAATTGTGTTGTTTGAAAAGTTCGAGTTCTGGGTGTTTCCTGCTCATGATGCATTTAGTGCTTTACGCTCTTCCTGCTGTAGCAAAGAGGGAGTACTGTTCTCTGAAGACTTCCTGTTTTAGTCTGTTAGTGATACTGTAGTACAAAAGAACACTATGAGCAAGGCACTTTTACTTGAAACAATCCGTTCTGTGGCTCTGTTGGTTCCTCAGTTGTCACGGAGTCCACTGCAGCAGTGTTTAATAAAGAGACTTTGCTAAATAATTTTACTTTGGGTTCAACAAATACAGGAAATAAGTTTCACTTTAATGCACCTTGTTAAAACATTAGAACCATAAACTCTATATATTGTTGCAGTTATTTGAACTAAGGCTGTAAATGTTTGTCTTTTATCTGTAAATTCCACACCAGGACGTTTCCTATCCGAGGTTTCCAGATCTACGACGGCCCGGTGCGGCTCACACGGAGTACGTTCAGAGGGTTCGTCCCCACACCAGAGCGCAACACCAGTGCAGTGGGATTTAATCTGAAGAACACGTGGCAGCTGACCCCTCGAAACAACCTGTCCCAGCTCAGCTTCCACCCCACCGTCAGTTTGCTCTTTAATTTAACTTGAAATGTGTGAAAACGCAGAAGAGCTGAATGCGTTGACTGTTTGATCTTTTCTTCTGATGGTGGTTTTCAGAGCTTTCTTTTGGCCAGCTTTCTTTCATCTGTGTTGTTTCCTACTTTGTTGTTTGGTCTGTTTGTTTTCTCCTGACATTCACAGCTTATTCAGCAACTTATAAACCTTTCTTGAGTCGGCAAAGGAAACAAAATCTTGATTTAACGTTAGATTTACCTTCCTGGTTGAGCCATTTACCCTTTAGAGTTTTTTTGGCCGTTGGTTCCACCTTGCCAATATTATCTGCTGGATCACCTCATAAGTCATGTCTGGATAGTTGGTGTAAACCATTGGCGCCCCCTTCTGGTTACTCCAGTTTATTGCACAAGCCAATTTATAGAAGTATTTTCAGCTTATCTTTGGAACTCCAACACACCTGATTGAGTGGTTGAATCATCTGTTCATCAAGCTCTGCAGAAGCCAGTTAATCACCTGCTGATTAGTCTGGTGTGCTGAAGCAGGGAAACGACTAAAACATGCTGGATATGCTGGCTTCCAGGACCTGGACTGGGTTTCCATGCACTATATTATTGTTATTCACATCATAAAACATCACATTAATAAGTTAAACTGGTAGCAGAGCATTTATGCCTCATAATCCAAAAGAGATTAGATCAAGAAATGAAAACAGGAGAAATTTGCTATTATGAAGGAGAACTCGGCTGTAATTATTTGAAGGTTTGTACCACGATTTTTCTCAGGCAACTCTTCGAGCGTTCTTCGGTCGCCCCGGGCAGTGGTTCGAAGAGAACGACCTGGACGGTGACAAAAACTCCATCTTCCACGATGTGGATGGGTCAGTCTCAGGTTACAGAGACACGTACGTGGGCCGAGCGGATAATTACCTGATCCAGCATCCTAACTGTGTGCAAATGCCTCGGTGGAATGGAGTGACCTGCAGCGGTCGCTACTCTCAGGTACGACACGTCAGAACCCACGTCACCTCTCTCCTTCCCTTGTAGAGATCTCTCCCTTGTCTTCATCCTCCTTTCCTTCAGGTGTTCATCCAGACACAGGGAGCCCCGAGCCTGAGCTTGTCCATCAGCAGAGATGACTATCCAGCTGCTCCTCTGGTACTGAGGGGGATTAACAGCCAGGGGGCGTCGTCTCAACAGTACCAGCCTGTTCTGATGATGAGCAAGAGCTACACTCTGCACTGGAATGGACCTGCACCCAGAGAGGTTGTGCTATCTCTCATCAATTTTGATAAGTGAGTAGAAACGGACAGCTGCACGTCTGTCTCTGGGGACGTTCTAGTGTGGTAAATTCTCTGGTTCACTCACTCAGAGACGACTGGGTCCTGGTGGGACTCTGTTACCCCCCAGACGCTACCTTTCAGATCATGGGCGACATTAACGACAGACAAAGGAACATCTTTGATGACATCACAGACTACGGCACCGTGTCATCTCTCGCTGAGCTGAAAGCGAGACAAACTGAAAGAAAGTACTTCTTTGACCAGAATGTCGGGTGAGTGAACGCAAACGCGGCCCTCAGCTCTCTGTTTGTCTGTGAGACACGATTAAGTGATGAGTAGGTCAGCAGATTTGTGACATTTGGCTTTTAAAACTGACTGATGCTTTCTCATAAAGGTCAGGTTTCTCATTGCAAAGGTTGGGCAGTCTGCAACATGAGTTTTCATTTATCATCAACCTCCCAGAGGTTCTGATTGTGCTCCGACTCTTCCCTTCTCAGCTTATTGTGGTTCTACCTGCGGGCCCGGCACGGTCGGGACGGTCACAGCTACTGTTCAACAAAAGGCTGTGAAAGGGTAAAAGTCACATCCACAACGTCGTCCAAACAGACCTGTAACTGCACACGGACGGCCTACCCCAAATACTCTAAGAAGCCCTCAGCGGTGGTGCCCATGCCTGCTCCAAACCGTCAGCCCTGCAACGACTGTGGTGCCCAGCAGGTGTGTTATACTTAAATAGCCCCTTTAAACACAAGCCAGCAGTGCTCATTGTGAGTTATTTGTTTTGTCTCAGTTTGTATTTTCTAGCGAGCCCTGGACCTCCTACCTTCTGACACAAGTGAAATCTGTCAGCGTCAAAGAGCAGCAGAGAGGAGATAACGCCTCCTTCATCACTGTGAGTTTGTTTAAAAACCAGAAACGGATCCAAACTTTAGGTTGATGACGTGGCTGAAAAACCTAAATCACCTTGGTGTTTCCCGTTACCTGCCAGGTGAACGAGATGACCATGTCCTTCTCCCAGCCTGGGTTCTTCCTCGTCTCGGTGGACGCCTGCTCTGGAAAAGTCAACAGGAAATACTTTTCTGCAAAGATGGATTCCAAGATGGAGGAGTATCTGAGAAGTGGGATGCCAAGACCGTGAGTCACTGGAAACAAGCCCAGTATTGTTCACACACTATAACAGAAGTCGTGTAGGATAGTTCTTATTCGTTTGTCTCCAGGTCAATCGTGCTCATGGGAACTCGAGGCCAGCCTGAAGGTCTGGCTGATTTAGCAGCACATCTGGTGTCTTTTAGCTTGGCCAAAGCAGCTGATCTGACAAATAAAGGTAAGCTGAACACTTTTTCTCTCAAGTCACTGCATTTGTACCCCTTTTCCCTCACGCACGGTTATTGTCTACTTTCACCACAGAAAGTCTGGCAATGTGGGGCCTCCTGGGTGGTTCTTCATCACCTCCATGGGTTTCACTACAAGCCGGGCAGGGCGATGACGTCCTCGGGCTGCAGGAGCGATACTTGCCCCTGGCTTTGGAGTCTTATGGCTGTTCGCCACCTGCACCCCAAACACGCAAAGACCTTGAGCTTCTTAGAAAAGCAACAGGGCTGCAGTAACCAATGTGAACTGGACAACGTGCCCACATGAAACCATTGCACACAGATCCACAAACACAGCCAGTCGGTGAATGTGAACTGCTGAACTTTTAATTTATTAACAGGTGACAGAAGATGTCAAATTGGGGAGGAAGGAGTGTTGATATGATTGGGGTAAATATTTGATTTGTGTGTGTGTTTGTGTTTGTTTGCCTGTCTTAGGGCTAATAAGTCAATGCACTTTTGTTTTGGAGATATAACTTGTTTATATCAGCCAAAGCTTTTGGAAGGATCTCTACAGTCAATCTGCAGTTTCTCAGACCACAGGAAGACAATAATAAGGAAAAATAACAATGTATCACGTTCAGGAAGACTTGAAGTTATGGATATAAATGGTTTTGCCTCTGAAATGAGACTTTGACTGGAGCTAAAAGTGAAAATGAAATCGCATATTAAACCAAAACAGCGTTTATGGCTCAAATCCATTTTTGTGGTGAAACCAAACACCAACAAGCCATACTTACATTTATTAATAAAAAAAAAAATGTTCAGTTAAATCATTCAAGCTGTTATACTTTTCTACCTGAAAATACTTTTAAATAGAGAAATTACTACTATGTGGGTCTTTTTTAACCAGCTGAATCTTACTGGAGAACCTCTGATCATCGTGCAGCTGTACAACTAAAGCACCTTCTTGTGGATTCCTACATGGACTTACTGGACCTCCTTTTTCATGTTCCACTTGTTCTTTTGTCTTTTCTGAAAACTGTGCCTCATGTGCAGCACAACAACAGATGCCTTCTATTTTCCTCAAACAGAACTGAATGTTTTCCCTTTCGTCTGTCTCTCACTTATGATCCCTTTTTTATAGGAAAAACTATGCTGAGATTCAATTACTGGAATTATTTTTTAAGTATCCAGTCTGTGCAGTGCTGAGCAGCAGACATGTCCAGATGAGAGAGATGCAGCTTTACTGTTCTTTAATATGTGCATGGATGTGAGCAGGGCTCCCCCACTGAGCTGCGATGGGTTCATGTTTGTGTCGATACGACCGTGAGACGGAGGGCGTTCTGTTCACCGTGTTGCCTTTTAACCACTCTACTGTTGAAAATGAGCAGAAGAATAAGAGATCCTCCATGACTTTTGCTCAGCTGATACTTTAAAGATGCACAGCCAAAGTTTGTCATGTTTTTATTCATTTATTATTAATGAAACATGTAAATATGGTTTAGGACTTGGTGTACGTAGAAATGTTAGTAAATTGTGTGTATTTGTTTATTTTTTTATATATTTCTACATGTAAATGTGTCTAATGAAATTGCCTTTTAAATAAAAATTAACCTTTGTGACTTTTATGCAAAGTATAATGCTTTTTTCTATTTATTTCTTAATCATGGTGGGGGGGGGGGGGGGGGGGTGACTTGTGCAAAACCTCGGAAGACAGTGTACAGCCCTGTGCATGACTCGGATATAAAATATTCTGCATAGACCTGGAGTGCTCTCACTCATCACTCTTGCAGGACAGACTGAAGTGGCACCGTTTAGTCACATCCATGAGACCAGCAGCTCTTTGACTCGGATTTGCCACACACCTTTCACTCCCTCATAATTTTCATTTTTAGTTTATTTGAATAATCATTTTAGTTTTAAGCGTATATTTGTATGCCTTAATTGTCCGAGCAGAGGTCACAGCTGTTATTAAAATAAGTTAAATGAAATGTTGTTCCTGGTGTTTTTATCTCATATGAATGAGCAGAAGTTTTGTTATAAATGAACTTTAATTATGTAATACCACAGCTTTTGAACTGTGAACGCATTTAGCAAAATGCCAAGGCTAAAAATATTACGCTAGGGACCTGTGTGGGCAGCAGCCGCTAGCGTTACGGCGTACTTGTTTTCATGCAAGGGCTATATCTATGGCAACGCATTAGATAGCTGTTGTGTCCCTTTTTTTGTCTTTTAGCATCTTTAACATAGCAGAACATGTCTTCTCTGCTGCTCATCTCTGTGTGGAAGACAGAAAAGCAGAACTGAACTGGGATAAAGATCTTCAGAACGGTCTTAGTTCTTAATTTGCTGGATTCAACTAGGTGTTTGAGTCATTCCTTACAGGTTCTGGTCCATATCCAATTACATGGATCCATCTATGATGAGAACCTCTCATTCCATCTCAAGGTTCTGAACTGGATTAAGATCTGGTCAGTATGTTGGCCGTTGGAGTCCAGTGAACTCATAGTCATGTTCTGGCAACCAGTTAGAGATTATCTGAGATTTGTGACATGGAGCGTTATCCTGCTGGGTGTAGCCATGAGGAGATGGGTCTTTTGTGGCCATAAGGGATGGAGATGCTCACCAGGCTCATGTACTACGGGGTCCAAGTGGGACAAGAACATCTCCCAACACCAGGAACAGAGCAGCAGTCTGAAGCATTGATGCAAGGCAAGATGGATCCATGCATTCATGTTGGTTACACTGAATTCTGACCCGACCATCTGAATGTTGCAGCTGAAACCAAGACTCGTCAGGGCAGGAAACGTTTTTCTGGTCGTGGTCCAGTTCTAGTGATCCTGTGTGAATTTAGCTGTTTCCTGCTTGTAGCCTACAGGAGTGACACCTGCTGTGGTCATCTGCTGGAGCCCATCTGCTTCAAAGTTCATCATGCTGTGGTTTAGAGATGCTGTTCTGCAGACCTTTGGTTGGAACCTGTGGTTTTTTGAGCTGCTGGTGTGTTTTTGTCATCTAGAACCAGTCTCCCCATTCCCCAGGTCTCTGACCTCTAATATCGATCAATCAATCAATCGCTTTATTTATCAAGCGCCTTCCGCAACCCTGTCAGGAAGCCCAAGGCGCTGAATATGGTACAGTAGAAAGTTAAATATAGTGAATAAATCAGAAAATAAAAGCAATTCAAATTACAGATTACAAATGACAAAAAAAGGGTGAAACATTCTGGTACAGGACAAATGTGTAAAACAAGGGATAGAGTGAACCAATGAAAACTGTGAAATAAAATCAACATAAAAGATGGCCAAATTCAAACACGTTCAGGAAACGCCAAGCGGAGGAGGTGGGTTTTTAGGCGACTCTTGAAGACTGGCAGAGATGGGGACAGCCTAACTGAGGGTGGCAACTGGTTCCAGAGTGACGGTGCTAGGACTGAGAAAGCCCGGTCCCCGCGAGTACGACACGTAGAACGAGGGACAGCGAGCTGGCCTTGGGTATATCGGGTATTTTCATTCCATTTTCTCTTTTTCAGACTGTAAACCCCAGAGATGGTTGAGGGTAAAATGTTGGTAATTACTATCGGTAATTACTCACTTAGACCTACTTCCTACTGCTCGGTTTGAACAATCCTGAAAGCATTGAGCTGCTGCCATGTGATTGGCTAATTAGCTGTTTGTACCTAATAGTACTCAGTATTTACAAAATAAACATGAATGCATGGATTATTTCACACAAGGGGGGTATTACCCCCCTGAATCTTTCTGTAAATGTTTTTGTCTTTACATAAAAAAAGCTGAGCTAACAACTAATACATCGCTGGAATAGTTTTCACTTGGCCTCTTTGACTCAGGCTGTAATTAATAATCTTTGTGATCTAATATACAAATATTTCTATTAATAAATAATATTTGCATGCATGTACTCATTCTCAAAAAATTTCTGTTACAAGAAAGGTTACTAAAGGCTTAAAGATGGCCAAAGCTAGTTCGCACTCTCCTCCCAGTCAGCTCTAACTGGGTTTGTTGGTCTTAAACCATTTATTTACGGGTTTGCTAGAATCACCAGGCTGTTTTTTCAATTTTCTGTCGGCCTTTTCAGAGGTTCCAGCTGATGCCCTGCTGATGCTCAGTGATGGTGGTCCTGAATAATTAAACAGGTCTGACAGGCATGTGGTTCGTTTCTATGGCGACCCCTCTCCTTGTATCCTTACAGCTCAGCGGAGTAATGTAAATCTCCTGTCTCCTTAATGCCTCCTTAACTCTAACAAAGTACCACAGAAGAACATTCATGAAGAGGTCAGTGGGAGCTTCTGGTTGCACGTCATCACTCTTGCACAGACACAACTGGAAACTCGTGAGCCGTTTCCTGGACAGAATTGAATAAAACAGTTGTGGATTTGTCACAGCAGAGGTGGGAGGAAGAGGCGTAAGGTCACGTTTTAGTGATGCCCATCATCTCTGACAGAATGGTGGCATATCGGTGCTTCTAGCTGGTTCACCCACAGCCAGTAGTGAACTCAGACATAGGCAATTACCCTTTAACATCAAATGGTTCATCAGTTCCTCGGCCCATTAGACAGTGAATTAACCTTATCTGCCTGCAGATGAAGAGGTATGGCTATGACACCTAACAACCCCTGTACCAGTTTCAGCTATCACCAGAAAACATGCCGTGCACTTTCCACACAGCATGCCAGTAGCTAATCATACCCTGAGAAACGCAATAAAAAAAGGATTAGGACACAGTTATTTATCACCAGAAGTGATTTTTCAGTTTTTTAATCATTCTCTAATTTAATAAGCTGCAATGTGCTGGGCTTCAGTTTTGGGGCCGTTTGATTTCATTTTTTTCTTTTTAAAGCTAAAACTCAGTGTGCGTGTTCCTTTTGAAGCCAAGCTTCAGCTCAGCGTGTCTCGGATGATTTGTGCTACAAAGATGTTTGTAACAAAGATTAAAAGGTGCTTAAATTTAATTTTAATTTGTTTTGTTTAGTTATAAAAGCATGCTGTGGGAGCTAATTGATCTGTTTGTGAGGGCTTTTCAGAAGGCTTTCTTTGCTGCTGCTCATAATTTGCAACATTTTTTATGTTCGAGGCTCTTAAGATGTTTATGAAAGTGTCAGCCATCAGTGGATGGCGATCAAGATGATGATGATGACTATGAAAATGTTGATTGTCATGGCTTTAATCATGTCTGTTGCTGTCAGCTTTAGTCTCCAGCTGGATTCAGTTCCTCCAGCGAAACCAATAGCTTTTTGAATCAAATCAATCTGGTTCCCAAAGAGAGATAATCAGCCTTCACCTACAGAATGATTAAGACCTCCTGCTACAAGCTATACAGATAAAACTAAGATACCACAGGAACGTCTTACTGCTAACCTCCAAGGTCACTTCATGGTCCGATGAGCTAGAAATAGATTTGTTTGAATCCAGGAATGAGATTTTTGATTTTATGAACAAGAAAAGAAACCCCATAAGAAGGCCTTTTGTAGCCAGCCAGTCAGGTCATTTTGTAGAAATTAACTGTGAAAATAAGTAAAAGTACATTAGAAATCAGAAGGCAGACAGATTATTTTCAATAACATACTTGTTTGAACTAAGAGTCCACATTAAAGCTGCAATGGCTAATTGTTAGGGAGTTCAAATCACATTTTTTCCCCGAGTCATTTGACTTTCAGTACCTGCTGACACCAGGTCCTGAGCCGACACTTTAGCAAAATATAAAATTAAGAAAAAAAGAGAAAATACATTCATGTTTCCTAAAATTTTTTGTATTATTTAAATATTTGCTCATTTTTGTATTTATGTCAATTCCTCAGTTTATCTGTCAAAAGACGTCACTTATTTAGAAAATACATAGATAAAAATCATGTTAATATTAAAATGATAAATGACCCGCACTTGTATAGCGCCTCTCAGAGTAAGGACCCCAAAGCGCTTTACACTACAGTGTATCATTCATCCATTCACGCACACATTCACACACTGGTGGTGATGAGCTACGATGTAGCCACAGCTGCCCTGGGGTACACTGACATAGGCGATATTATGAATATATTTAAAAGTATCGGAGTTGCTCAGTTTTCAAATGATTTACTTCCTCATTATGTGGATCTGTTTAGTGATATACATTCCCGTAATTGGAAGGCACGTGGTGCCACAGCCAGCAGGCTAACTTTTATATGCACAACACCTGTAGCTACCGGCGTGACCAGCTCAGGTGCTGCAGAATGAGAAACCCTGACGTTTTGCTGTCCGTCTGCAATTTCTGTTTATTAACATATTTTTCACTGTTGGCAGGCTCCGTGATTTTGAGAGCGATGCCGCTGTGAACTGGGACTTAATGCAGACCGATAATTCGATGTGGTGACACCTGCTAGGGCAAAACGCCGAAGGAGAAAATGATTCGTTTTGAAGGCAGCTTATCATACAGCTGTTTTCTCCAGCATGTTGAACTCATAAGTGGCTGTTACGCTGCTTTCGCTGACCGGTTTAAAATACCACCAAAATACGGACATTTTAGCTCTCCTGTGGAGACACGTTAGCTCTGCGTTAGCCTATAGCTAACAGCTGCATGTTATGGGGTGTTTCTCAATGCCAAGGAACCTTGTTTTGATGTCTTGGCCCCGCCCCGGTTG